GCGGAGAAGAGAAGGGCGAGTCGAGAAGTCTGAAATGGGGCGTCGGTTGGGTCCAGTGAAATTTAATGGGCTGAAGAATATTTTGAAGGGTTAAATACATTTTGCACCCCTAAAGCAAATTTTTGTAACACTTACCTCCCTGAAGTAATTTTTGTAACACTCTTCCCCTTTAACAAGTGATGAGAATAAATTTAACATTAAATTAAACCAAAAACCAAGATGAGTAGATATAACTAGGCTCGATTTTCCTTATTTTTATTCTAGATCTTTTGGAGAAAGAAGATTTTCAACATTTCTATTTATAATCTATGGCTTCAGAAGAGTTTAATTCAGGGGCGTACCCATGATCATTTATTTTGGGGGGCGAGATAAATTTTCAGGGTACGGGGCAGCGTCCTGAATTTTTTATTTTTTGTTAACAAACATAACAAAAATGAGTTTATATTGCTAAATTTCTAGTTAAAATAGTATATATTATAGTCGTATCATATTTCAAGCAAGATTTTTTTTTTAATTAATCCAGATTATTTTAATAATATGTTGCACTTAATATTTTGGGAGTTCGGGGCATCGTCCGTAACTTTTGTTAGAGTTATTCATAAAGAAAAATAAAAAAGAAGTATATGTATAAATATGGTGATTTAAAATAGTCGCCTTAAATAATCACCCATTAAACAACACATATACATACACATGGATTTGCATATTTTTTAAATGTAGATTTACGGTTTAATATCACCCGGTGTATTTCACCGGGTGTAGCATAAAATAAACCGTACTTTGAGTATTTTGGTACAAATCAAGAAAACCAAATGGATATTAATTAGAAGAGTTGATCTGGACTTTAAAACTAATTAACCAAAATCATTTGTTGCTTAATAATTATGAGCAAATTAAACCCATCCTGCTTTTTTGGTATTATATTAAGTACATGTATAGATAGGTTGATGTAGACACGGCCATGGGCCGGCTTTCGGTCCGGACCGGCCCGTTTACCGGTGAACCGGTCCCGGAACCGTGAACCGGTCTCGGAAACGTGAACCGACCCGTGTACCTCAGGTCGAGTCATGTTCTAGAAATAGGTGAATCGTAAACCGTCAT